AACATTATAATGTGTGTAAGAATTAATAGAAAAGAAGGAAGAAAATTATATACGTAACGCATAGATATGATGATACGTAAGAAGGATAATAAATTATTTACATTTGTATTTGTATATTCTTGATAACTGGAGACAAAGAATTTTTAACGACAAGGGGAGCAAAATTAATTACACGCCGTAATGAAAACTAACGTCGCAATTTAATGGGATGTGTATGATAAAATTTATTTGCGGCAACTCGGAAAGTTCGGTCGGGCCAGTGCAAAAAATTGTCTTAGAAACTAAAGTAGTGGAAAAAAAGCTCGTGCACCACCGCGCAGATGGTAGCAACATGCCGTGTATTAAGAAGATGAGAGATATTAAAAAAAAGGTTCATATAATGAACGGCTGCACATTGTTTTGTGCATACATCTGTTGGCGAGAAAGATATATTTACACTAGTCTAGTGGTACTTACGATTGCTCATTAAACTCTGCGTTAAATTCTGCAGATGACAATTATATGTACCTCTTGCTATGTTCCGCAAAAAGACATCACCAAAAAATTGTATATAAACGTTAAAATTATTTTGTCCGATCGAATGATGTGTTGAATTGATACCTCGGCATGGAAAATTGATCTCTCATGAAATCCGCCAGATGCGAACCTAATGGCCAATCGGTGTTCATTGTCTCGCCGCGTGCGCGTCGAGGGCGCGTGCACCTATAAAGGAGGTACACCACTTTTACAGCTGCCGGAAGTACATCTGCTAACGCAGAATCTACTAACCGTGCGGAGGAGACTCGGGCCTTCGGTTAAGTCACTATATTATAATCTCAATGCATTGTATTCGCTTTGTAATTTTATATAACTGTCTGCGTGTAAGAGTTGCACCGTTGACGCGACTAATGAATCGCGTTCCTTATGCCAAGACGAATAATCAAGACGGTTAATTAAAATTGGAAAAAAGCCGAGGGAATAAGATAGAGACCCTTACACGTGTGTGGCGGGTCCGCGGACAGACGGCAGGGCCACCTTTATTTTCGAAAAATAGCGGCAGCTGCTCAGAAGAAACGATCGCGGTACGGTGTGGCTCGTGCTGAACACCTTTCGTCTCTAAATCGAGGGCTTATGGTTTCTGGCATAATCTTGATGAAAATTCGTAGCTAAATATAAAAATTGTTATATATATACAGATTATTAGTCAGATGGAAAGAAAACATCTCAAATAGAACAATAAGTTGTGCTTTTAACATAACGTTAAAATAAATTGTGACTAATCAAAAAGTGACTTTTAATAATTATTTTGCAGAAATTTTGATGAATTTAAATATTCATCATGACTTATTTTATTGTTTTGCTTGGAATAATATTGCTCTTTTATCATTCATTAATTAGGAATGTATGTGTCATATTTCAAAGCATTAGATATTAAAAACAGAAAAATTTCAAAAATTATTCTATTATTACGTTTGGGTATTTGTGTAAAATATGAGCATTTTTTCTTATTAAAAGTCTAAAAGTTATTTAATTTTTTTTGTTTGTCTTGATTTTTGTAAAATCATATTTTATAGTTCTTACTTGTAAGTTAAGGGAATAACATTACGAATTAAATCAAATTTTTTATATATACTAATAAAATTTTAATAAATATTCGTGCAAAGGTTTATTTGAATTTACTTATTACTCCTTTAAAAGTTATTTATCTAATACTTTAGCAAAATATGGTCATTAAATTACATAAGCAAAATTATTTGTTATCTTGTACTTTGCATGCGTATTTATGGCTAAAATGTTTTCGCTGATATTAGCTAATTTTAGCCTTTTTAACTAATTTTTTGGTTGACATTTTTAGC